TTTTGTCAGGTATGCCTAGATGTGCATCATGCCTTCAAATACATGGTGAAATCCAAACTTCTCTGAGGTGTGTGGGAAAACAAATTTCACTCGCTGGATGCAAGTGAAATCTGAAGTCAAGCATCTTATGGTGTTTGGACCTAATGACAGCATTTCTCAGAGTGGGTAAAATTTAGTGAGCTTTTCTATCCTCATTCCACCCATCTCTCATTCAGGAGCCTCATTTCTCTCAAGCAGCTGCACAAGGAGTGCCTGATACACACCAACTGGTGGCTTCCACAGCCTCTTTGACATCTTGTGAGATGTCCCAGTTGCAGGGTCAATTCTGTCCCTTTTCCAGAGGAGAGAAGTGGAGGGAAGAGCTGAGGAACCCAGTTATGCATGCCAGGTGTACATGTCCGTGACCCTGATGGGCAACACTTGCTGAAGCCAGCAGGACCTTCACCTCCCCATTTGGTAGTGGGACCATTTCAGCCCAGTCTTACGCAGGTCTGAGGAGGCACGCTGGGATACACAGCCAGCGGTAGGAAGGTAGTGAGTGACGCGGGAAGCATCTCACTGAGCTGATTTGGGTTCCCAAACTGCGGAGCAAGCATCCGTTCGACCAGGGTATTTTGGCATCTGTCGGGCAGTGCGTTTTCCTCACCATTTTTCCTAACATTGTCCCCAGCCCTCTGCAGAGACGGTGAAGGAGGTCATCCAGTTCTCCAAGGACACGCTGGAGAAGATCAGCAAGGCCCGCATGGAGGGACTTTACCATGAAGTGAGTCCCAGTACTTTTTGCTCTTTTGCTGTATATGCACTGCCAGGGAAAGCAGGTCTTGTCCCTCTCTATGTCAATGATTTAAGGGTGAAACAAAGCCCCTCTGCTGTAACCCAAACATCCCCTGCATGTTGCTCATTTGTCGGGTGTTGAGGATGGGTGTGTGGTGCGGGAGAGCCACGTCCCACCTGGAGCACAAGGGCAAAGGGTGAGAGAGCTCAAGTCACTTCTTCCTTTCTGCCTCTTTTTCTGGCCCAGGAAATATTTAATTGTTCTCTTCAGAGTGTAACGGCTTCAGGAAAGCACTCCAGGTTGAGCAACAGCCTCTGGGTTTGAACTTTCTTTGGGAAAACACCGAAGTCCTCCAGAGCAGAGATCTGGGCGTTGGGTCATGGCTAGCTACAGCTGTGATGCATGGGACAGTGAAGCTGTGTGTCACCAGCCCCATGGGGTCATTAAGAGCATTCATTCCATCAGCTGCTTGTAGGAGGTTGGGTCGATGGTGTTGGGGTGTAAGAGTCCTGTAGGCACTTGGTGTCTGACAAAACCCAACCTCCTGGGGTCTTTCTTCTCCTGAACAGTAGGCATCACTTTTCCCTCACCAGTTTTATAAATGTAACCCTGGCAGAGGAAGATCTGAGCACCAACCATTTTGCTAGACTGATGTTTTTCAACAAATAAAAGCATATTGTATCTTCCTCAACCTTCATGGCGGCTGACTTGCTTCTAGGACTGGTATGGACCATGGGACCCACCAGGCTTTGGTGTGGCAGCTTCAGGGCCAAAGGTGCTCTGACTTTCCCTTCCTCTCCCTGCTTCCCCTGGGCGCAGGTCGTGAAGCTGTGTCGTGAGTGCCTGAAGAAACAGGAGCCTGTGCTGGGGGACACGAACATCTACCTCCTGAGGATCCTCAGCATTGCCTCCGAGGTGCTCTCTTACCTCCAGATGTTTGAGGAAGCAGCTGACTACGCCAAGAGAATGGTGGATGGCTACCTGTATGTCTGTGCCTTATTTTTGACAGCTCTCTGGGGTTATGCAATGTTAGGCACCATGTTATGAAATAATTTTCTTTGTCTGCTCCCATCAGGGTGGCGGTGCTGGCATTAAGACTGTGACCTGATTGTATCACAGACAGAAAGAGACCCCTTCCTAAATGCACAAGAGCTCCCAAGCACCTTGATTTACTAAACTGTGACTGGCAAATGGTTTACAGTTTACTAAACTGCGACTAGCACTCACGATGTGCCTTCACTCTTGAATAATACATGGATTTTTGTCTTGGCTAATTAGTATGCCCAAGTCCTGTGGTAAATAGTGAGAATAAAGATATTCAGGCTTAGTTCACATAGATCCAGGACAAACCTCACAGTATAAATGATGTACTTTATTACTACCGAGGTTTTACTATAGGACTGATAAGTATTAAATAGCAAAAAATTAAAAAAATTAAAAAGTAATGGAAACCATAGAGAAGAGAGAGAAAAGCCCATTTTGTCATCTCGTTCACCCTCCTGCTGAGAGTATCTCATACCCATTACTTGTCTTTTTGGGGTTCTACCCCACAACCCCTGTGATATTTTGTTCTTTTTCAGAGGGGTGACAGTGTCACCTCCCTGGTTTGCAAGCCTGACAAGCCACTTCATGTCCCAGCCCTGGCACTGAGCTAATTGAATGACACAGAGGAAATCGCTTCCCCTCCCTGTTCCTCAGTTTTTCAGTCCCGAGTGAGGACTGCAGTAATTTCCTTCCTTACTTTAAGATCTTCCAATTCAAAATGCCAACTAAACCTTTGAAGACAGGTTTTCAGGTAAATCCAAGCAGCTTCTAACTCTGCCTGTGCTTCTAATGTTGGATGTCAAAGCCAGAATTCATCTTGCCCACCAGGGGTACTGACTGTAGGGGAGGGATCTTCCAGTCCCTGGAGGGATGGATACATCTCCAGGGGATGAGATCAACATTTCTGGAGTTTCTGGAACTTGCCGTTTCTCTCACCACTTTGAATGAGAAGCTGGTGGTTGTTACATTCTCAATTTAGGCACTTCATTAAGCGTCTGAAGTTAAGTTGGTGCCATCTGGGCTTTTGAGTTAGATTGATTTTTGATTGTGCCCAAATAATGTGGCATGACAGAGCTTGGCATTCTCCAACCCAGGTGTCCAACTTTGCCTGTTCACAGGTCGTTCATCCTCTTTCACAACAACTCATGCCCTCATATAACTCGTGTCCTCGTGTAACTCATGCCTGCCCCTTTCTAAGCAGGGCCGCACATTTCAGTGGCACCGAATGCAATACACTCTTCACTTGAGTAAACAGTCTGCTCTTTGGCAAACATATCACTGGCAACTGTATCACTGGCAAACATTTGGGAAGCCAGATCTTTCCTGAACTAAAATTACTCAATGTTTTTCCAGGAAAATATACCATCCCAACAACGCGCAGCTGGGGATGGCCGTGATGCGGGCAGGAGTGACTCACTGGCATGCTGGTCTCATTGAAGCCGGCCATGGCTTGATCTGTAAAGCCTATGCCATTCTCCTGATAACCCATGGACCTTCCCACCCAATTACCAAAGACCTGGAGGTAGGTGTCATCTCCTTTCTTGTCTCTGCTGGCTGTCTGGGCAAAATTACATTCAAGCTGTAGAAACAACCCATCTGTAAGAGCTGAGAGATGCATCAAGTACTGACTGCTTCTTACTAGTGCTGTGGTTTTCTCTAGATTATGTTACAGTCTGCTGGGAAATGCATGTCCCTTCCCATGGGAAATTTTCATCCCTGAATATTAGCTTTTATTCCGCACCAGGACATATATTAAAAATGGCCACTGAGCCCCTGAATCTTCTTTGAAACTGCTGTGCCCAAGGACAGAGCCTCCCATTCTTCAAACAGCCTGATTTCTCTGCTCTTGGATGGATGGCATTACAATCTGGCTGTATGAAATTACGTATGGTGGATGTTCTCAGCTTACCAACTGATTTTCTTTATCGGTGTCCATTGTTAATTTACCACCACCCAGTCCTTCTAAGCTGCAATGTATTTTTTCCTTGGCTGACTGATAGGTGTATTTCCTAGCTTAGGGTCAAGAGCTGCAGATCCCAGGGAATTACATCCACTCAGCGGTGATGAACTATTTACAACTGCGGCTGGGGATCTATCATTTCTTTAGCCTTTAACTCACTCCATGTGACCTGCTGGCTTTACAGCATTCTCCTTTATTAGCCAAAAAACTTACATGACACCAAATGAAATCCTTTAGTGATGTCTTAGTCCCCATTATGTCAGAGCTATAACCTTTATTACTACAATTTTATATCATCAGAAAAATGAGTATCTAGTGCCTAAAGCCAGCCTGTCAGTTGACTGCTTCCCCATAGCAGAGGGCGAGACCCCAGCACCTCCATTTCTGTATCTCCCTTCCCACTTACTTCAGGAGGAAAATAGTTTCAACCAAGGGTTGAATAAACTCACAGAGGTATAAAAACATTTCCTAAAATTCCTCCTGAGCCTCTGCCATAACGCAGCACTAGGAATGACTCTGCTTGTGGGGAATCCTGGGATCCAGGGAGTGCAACTGTGATGTGGTCCAAGAGGGGCTGAACATCCCCCTCCTCCTCCTCTGCCTTTTCCCACATGAGGTGACCCACACCTGTGGTGGGTGATACTGAGGTTCAGGCCTGGGATGTGAATAGGAAGCACACTCACTCCCTGGCTCTAGGTGCTGCATCAGCTTTGGGAGTGTGAGGCTTCCCAGCAGCCTGCAGAAGAGCTGGCTGCAGGAAGAGCTGATGCCTTCTTCACCTTCACACTCTACAGGTAACCAGGTGTGAGAAAGTAACTGGATATCTGTGTCTGGTCAGCTGGTGGGACACACAGATTAAATTACATCAGTCATTACATGGCCTAGGACATGCCTGAAGGATGGTCCTCATTTTTAGGCAGTGCTTTATTCACTTGCTTCGAGGTCCCCTGCGTCACGGGTTTTATGACCTGTTGTGTCCCTCAGGTCATGCGTGTCCAGACGGAGATGGAGCTGCGCATGTTCCAGCAGAATGAGTTCATGTATTACAAGATGAGGGAAGCTGCCCTCAAAAACCAAAAGATTCAAGTCATGCCTGAACCCAGCAACGAGGCCTCACCAAGCCTCTTCCACAAGAAGGAATAAACCCTGAGCTTGACACAAATTCATTCCTGTGGGACAACATCGCCTGTACCACCTCCAAACATGGGGAATATGATATAGGAATGTGATATATCCATAAGGATTGTCTCAGTGGCACCAGTCTGAGAGCATGGACCCGCTGGGGGAGAGTCCTGAAAAATCTTCTGGGGCTCAAAGCAGAGATCTTGGCAGAAACAACATCCTTTTTCTACCACTAGCATTAAAAATCGGAGGAAAAAACCCTGTTACAGAATTATTTACATTTTTATTGGAAGCCTGTTTGTCTCTACACAAGTCCTGATCCTGAAGGCCTTGGTTAAATTTTAATTGACTCTTTCCTAAGTGGTTTTCTCCCATCACTTCCTTGTTATCATCTTTTATTTCCAATGATGTCCATAAGTGGTTGACCAAGGGATGGTGGGAGTGGGAAGCTGGTTCCAAAAAGTGTCATGTGTATCTGTGGGCCTTCAGTACAGACTGAATAAGACCTGCAGATGGTGGTTTGTGTAAAGTGACATTTTTCTGATGAAAAAACAGATGAACAATGATTCTGCAGCTGACACAGGTGTAACATCAAACTGTGGGCACTTTGCAAGTGAGATAAAGTGAAGTTACTACATCAGGATACATTAATTAGGGTAAATTAGTCTCCTTAGTTAAAAATCAGAAAATGTCTGCAGTGATGGCGGCAGATGGATATGAGATGGTTCTGTGCCAGAAGCCAGTTGCACTGGTGTGGTGCCCTGGCTGTGTGGAACTGAACAAGCGGTTTCCAGGGAGGGGGATCCACCTTTGCTCACCTTCAGGGTGAGCTCAGGGCTCTGATGGCTTTCAGGATCTGCCTTTCAGTTTAGACAGGTGCTTAATCAATTTTGAACTTTGCTGTTTGCCCATCTATCTCAAAATCCAACTGGTTTGCTCCATACCTTCAATGGCAGCCAAGAGATGAAAGGGAATGGTTTGTTCAAGAATCCCCTACCTGCTCCTCAGCAGAGTAGCAAGAAAACAAACCCAGCTCTTTTCCGCTTTGACATTTCTCAGTGATTTTGCTTATGTTTCTCCACATGTAAGATGAGTTCACTGGAGACCAACATCTGCTTTTTAGGAGCTGTTGAGCTAGGCCTTTCTCTTTGCCCATGAGGTGCCCATCTGATAACTAGTGTGACAATCTATATTGGTTCCATTCCTAGCATGAGGATCAACGTCATCCTGTAACATAAAAACCTTCCCTGAAGAGACAAGAGTCATGGGAGAGCTGCACAAGAGGACAAATCGGTCCTTTAGTGGCACATGTTGGGGTTGCAGGAGGAGGTGAAGAGGCACTGGTGGTGTTTTCCTAACATCCTGAGCAGCTTTGAGCAGTTGTGAGAACATCATCCCAGCTTGGTATATCACACCAGCAATACATCCATTTCCCAGTGACGATTTTCCCAGCACAGGGCTTGGAAAAGGCAGCCAAGAAGGAAGAGTCTCCTCTCCTGTGTGTGTCCAAACCCCACATCTCCATCCAGCCTGCAGCGCCAAGCGAGGGTGTGGGAGATGCTGTGGTGCTCCTTCGGTGTCTACAATGTGAACAACCAGTGCCCCTCTCCTGCCAGGACAGAAAACCTGTATTTCACCCTGGAAGGAGATTTCAGTTCCAGTTCAACCAAATTTATCAGGCACGGTTTGGGGTGAAACACACACTGGACACTGGACACCTGCAGTCTGTCCAGGGTCCTCTTGCTGGTGGGAAGGGATAGGGGGGAGATGGGGATGGAGTGGCCAGAACCTGTAGGGCTGGACCTTTTGCAGAGGTGTAAGGATGGGGATGGTGGTTGAGACACCCAAACTGCCACCACACCAGTTGCTTCCCCAAGGCAGCTTTCCAGGTGGGATCACTGACATTTGTTTGAGCCCACCTAAATCTCTCCATCACCCTGCCAGTCACCTTGTGGTCACTTTGGCCATGTTTGAAAGGAAAGGGAACAGAGCCCTTTTCTTGCCCGGTGCTCCTCCATCCACCCAGCCAGGGCAGCTGTGGGTACACAACCCACTGGGACATCCCCAGCAGAATGCTGGTGCCTGTCCCCAGGAAGGGGCTGAAGAGTGCTCATCAGCATGGACCGCATCTCAGAGGGTCACTCAATGGCTCTGAGCCTGTGCTCCATTCACCGACATCAGCATAGCCTTGGCTTAGTCTGTTGCCCAGTTTCTACTGGGGCTTGTGTGAATTTTGGAGGCTTGCATCTCTTTATAGCAACAGTGAAGAGGTTAATGATAAGAATGAAGAGGCCTTTAATACAAATTTTACTTTAATGGACACATTTTACACAGTAAAATGGTTGGCATGTACAGGGTCTCTAGATCCTCTTGCTGACTCTCTTGTAGGTGAGATCTCCCATGGTCAGTGTCTGAAAAAAAAATGGAAAGTGTTAGCTTTTCATGGTGCTTGGCTCCAAACTCTACTTGGAAAGGATCTGGTCTTGCAAATCAAAACAGGACTGGTCCCCAGTCTATCTCCTATAAGCTGAATTGTTAATGCTTTAGATTTCTTCATGAATACCCCAAAGCAGGTAGCGATAATCTGACATCGCTCAGCTGGGATCAGTCTGCTGCACCTCTCTTCTTTAAGAGTGCCAGGCCCAGCCACAGATATATACATCTGGGTTGGTGAGACTGAATGCCCTCGTTGCATGAAATTCTGATCAGAAATGCCTACTGGGGTCTCAGAGAATACTTTTTGGATCAGACTATAACGAAAACTGCCTTCAGTGCCTGGCCAACTGAGAGCTTTGGCTACAGAGCCTGTGTGTGAGCAGCACCTCTGTAAAGTCCCCAGCATCTCTGTAGGCTTTGTAGGGACAGAACCCTGAAGGCAGCTGTAGGCACTGTTACTCCAGCCATTGCCCCTCTCTTCTGCACTTACATTGGTGATGATGTCTCCATTGAGTTCGGTGACGGATTTCAGCCCTTTCAGGTTTGCAACCAGTCTGTTGTTACCCTCCATCTGAACAACAGCCTGATAGAGAGAGGAGAAGACAAGAGCATTCATGTTACCACTGCAGACCATATCAACCCTTGCATTTTGTCCTTCCCCTCCTGCACTGAGTTGCCACTGTCCCCTCTACAAGCTGTTTGGAGCAAGCTGCTCCCTTGGAGCTTTCCTAGGAGGAGGAGGAGGAGGAGAGGGTTGTGCTGGTGGTGACTACAACACAGCAAGGGTATGGATGTTTACTTTGGGCTCTACAGGTGTGCAATTTTGCTGTTGTACCTACCTCTCTCCCCTCCAAATACAGAATCACTCACAGCTTCTGCACCGTTAGATGCCAGAGCAGGGATCCTTGGCATCACACCAACATGAGTTTTGGGGGAGAAGAAGGAAGGCTTTTCTTTCACCCTGCCAATGCTGGTGCCTCCATGCAGCCCTGATGCTCCTTGGGGCAGCTCCTCATGCAGCACCAAGACCAAGAGGACCTGCACACCTCCAAGGAGAGGACTGCAGAGTCACCTGAGCTGGGCCAGGGCATGCCACATCATCTCCTCTCCACCACCCACCTATTGCACATTGGGTTACCCTTGGGTTGGGGTGATGGGGAGCTAGGCAACAGTGTGGGGCTGGAGGGAGTCTTGGTCAAGATTGGAAACAATTTAAGTAGCCTTCAGAAACACAGTCATAGTTGGAAAGCTCTCAGGGGAATGGGCACATCTGCTGAGTCTCTGACCCTGCAGGGAGCTGCACGTCTAAAAAGGCTACGGACAGCAGCAACACCCCCAGGGCAGCTATCACTGACCATTGAAATGACCGAAATAAATAACCCAGCAAAACCCCTTTCTGTTCATCTGTCTGTCCAGCTGTAAGACGTGTTCATCTGCCCTTGAGCTGCTGATTTATGGAGGGTGAAACTCTTCTAATAGACATTTCCCCCTACTTTATGTGCAAGGGACTTCAGCGGTGTTGAAAATCATGATACAGCTGGTACAGCTATCAGAGCCCAGTTCGCAGGGGCATTTCTTTGGTGATCATTCCTCCTGCCTTCAAAAGTCCCTGCAATATCATCTTCTCCCGAGGTAGAGGTGAGAGGCAATATTTGCCAGTGGTGCTGTCTTGACATTTTATGAACCATTGGAAACTAATGTCCAGGAACGGGAGCTGACCCAATTTCAAGGGTGATAAATCCTCACCTTGCCAAATCATCTCACCCGGTGTAAAAAGAAGCAGTGGGAAAGGCTAGCAGCGAAGCTAACAGTCGCTGGGACTTAAAAGGAGAGATTGATCGGTTTGTGATTCATTGGCTGACTTTCCGGCACTACCTTTAAGTCACAAAATGAAGGGGGGGGTGTGTATATTTCGTGTTGCAACATGACAGAAAGTCAACCCTTTTCCACCTCAAATCTTTCAGAGCTTTTGCTGTCAGAAGGATTTACCAAAACATCTCTATCCCCCTTTTCCAAATGGGCTATTAAAACACTGGCTTCCAGTGTTTTCCAAACTGGCTATTAAAATAGCTTTAGAAATAAATGCAAGGCTTTGTCTGCAGAAGTGCTGGCTGGGGAGCTCGTACGGTGTTTTGCAAAAGCGAAGAGGGGAGGTGGGAACTTCAGAGTCTCGGGCTCCGAGTTTGTCAGGAAGGTGGCTCAGAAATGGACTGCCGTGTTCAGCAATGTGTCCCTGAGAGCCTTGCTGAGCACCTGCAGGGAGCAGGGCAGCAGAAGACATATTTGCAGACTTGGCTGCAGCAATTAGCCCCTTCCCATTACATTAAATCATGCATGCAAACTGCGAGAGACAGAACCAGGCTGGGGAATTACCCAGGTCAATGCCCTGTGGCAGCTTTAACACCTATGGTCTTGTCATTCCCTTCAGCCCAAGTGCAGGGGGAATGGCTGGAAAGGAAATTTAATGTCCCTGAGCCCTTGCAGCCCTGGCAGAGGAGGAGCTGATCACTCACCTTGACTTTCTCTCCTGTCAGCATCTCCATATCGCACTCCTCCCCGATGGTGAACTCGTTGTGCAGCACTTTGGAGCCAGTGGTCACGGTAATCTTGAACTTGTTCCCATCCTGCACAATTTCTGAGATGCTCTTGATGTCCTTGCCCTTCTGGATTTGGTCATCGGGAAGCCCTGTCCGGGAACAAGAGGTGTTAGGTGGACCTTGGAGCCTTGGACTGCTGCTGCCAAATGAATGCGGTGGGATTTGGGGACCCACAGCTGGGAAGATTTCTGTTCTAATGTGGAAAAGCCTTCCAAGGATGATGGTTCCCCCAGGGCCACAGAGCGCCCTGAGTCTGCTGGGGAGGAAGAATAACAAATACTGCTGCTTTGGGTTTGTGTGGGAACTAGACTTCTCCCTTGTCCCACCGACTTGGCTGGGAGCAGAACAGCTACATCCCTGGGCAGCCATCAGAGGGAAAGAAGAAACCCTGTTTTCCTTCCTTCACTGAGAGGCAAGCAAAGAAAATGGAATAAATTGAGTCAGAAGGAGGGAACCAAGTGGTTTTTTTTATGAGATTCAGGGTCCCTCAGAACCAGCTCACTAAAGTCTTCTCCCAAAGCCTGAAGCTGATCTGACAGATACGGCCCCTCTGGCACATAACCGTGCAGAAGTAATGCAAAGCCTCCTGAATCCCTGCAGGAACACGTTCCCTGGCACTGTCGCTGGTGGAAACCTAGCTAGCCACATTCACCAGTAAGCACTGAAACAACCCAGCTACTTTTCTGATGAATGGTGGAATCTGGGGCTTTGCAGCATCACCAAGCATCAGCACGGTGGGCTGAGCAAAGCTTGCTCTCACACTCCACAGCCTTCTGGGGCAGATCTGCAGTCGCCCTAAGCAGGTCCCGCTGGCTTAGCATGTGTGTGCAGTGCTGGCTCGTGGCTGCAGAGACTGCTGGGACCGTTCTCCTGCAAGCCATAAGATTTCACCCAGCATCTCTTGACCTCCAGCCACCATTCTCTTCTATTTTGAGATCACATCTCCATGCACATGCATTTAAAAAAACCCCAACAATTGCAAGTTGAGAGACAGTAATAGGACATCTGAGAGATGTTTTCAATCTACATCATCAGCGCATCAGCACAGCTGGACTCCCAGATATCACCGGGATCTGTGGAGGCAAAGCAGCACGCAGCGCATGCAGGCACTTACCAAGGGCTTTCATAAAAGGCTCGAAATTTTCCTGGGACTGGAGTTCGTACTTTCCAGTGAAGCTCATGATGGAAAGGCTCTCTGTGCTCCCAACACAAGAGAAGGTGCCTTGCTGGTAAGCGGAGCTTGGTTTTATAAGGTCCTTTTGCCCTGAAAGTTGGTCAGAGGTAAGATGATGTAATTCTTTTATGGCCATGTTCAAACATTAACATAAAACAGGGCAATGGTCAGTGATAAATTGTTCTACATTTTACAGACCTCAATTTACAACGTGAGGGCAGGGAAAATCAAGTAAACCCATTTTATGGAGGTAACAACGTGGCATCCATAAAAAAATTATGAAAATATAATTGTGGAAAAAGATTAATTATCAGAGAAACGAGCCAAATCACCTAATCAGCTTGCAGGCTGGAAGCACACATCTGGAAGAGGAGAAAGCAGTGAAAGGTTATGGTGTCCCCTGGACCTGACACCAATGGGGGCTCTACTCACTGATGTGTGCATGCTGGGTCTTTAGCACTGGCATGAAGAGTAGTGGCTGCACGCTGCATGCAGGAGTTTACTTGCTCACTGCTTCAGATGCCTCGCGGGCCTCTGTAATGGTGGGGTTTGGTGTAACCCAGATGTAGCAGCAGTCACAAAATCATCGTTGTCCTCTAAGGAAAAAACACAACTCAGAAACAAATCCTGGGCTTGAACTGGCCCATCCTGAAGACTGCAGTTGAATTCAGATGCCATCACTATGGCCTTGCCTCCAGAAAGTGGTTTCGTGTGAATAGATGGACCGGTGCCATTAGCGATCAACCAAGGCTGTTGCCAGGAGCCACTGCTAAACCCCCTTTCCTCTCCTTTCTCCAGAGGAGCCACAGTCACTCGTGTACTGAAGGGGTGTCCTGGCCCTCGAAGCTGCATTTCTCCCAAATTCCACATCAGAAGTCGGGCCAGCAGCAGCCTCCAAGCTGAGCCCAGTTTCTCCTTCCAAAGCAGGACTCGGGGCTGGGCTCCTCTCCCAGTGTCATCCCCTTGGCTGAGCATCCCAGGTTGCTGCGGCACAGCCTCTGAGCATTTATCCTCTGGGTCTGGAGTCCCAGGCTCAGTTTCTTGCTCCCATCTCATCCTCTGCCCCAATGAATTCCTCTTCCCACCCAAAGTCACCAGCTCAGGGATTTTTCCCCTTTTCACTCATGCCTTCTCCTCTTTGCAAAATTCTTCTTTTACAATGCCTTCTCATAGCACCTTTGGCCTTTTTAAAAGTGAAATTATGGATAAGCGTGAAAAAAAATCTGTCTCCTTCAATTTGGAGATGCTGCCAGAGCCCTCTGCAGCCACCAATCCTGCTCCTGTAGGCTCAGCCTGGGGCTGCCGTCTGCCTCCGCTCCCTGTGCTGCAGCGATGCACAGCGACGCTGGCCAGGCTAGATTCAGCCTCAGTTTCTGGTTAATTAGTACAGGCAGTGTCTGCCTGGCAAGGCAGGAGAGGGAAAACCGCTGCCCTTCGGTGGGCAAAGTTGGCTGGGGGGTGTCCTCTGGGGAGATCACCCCTCTGCATTGTGGCAGGAGCCAGGCAGGTTCAGAGAGCGCTTGAGGGGGAAGGGGTTGATTCAGCACTTTCTCCAAACAGCTTTTCAGCTTTTTTCCCTTTTATCCAGGGCTTTCCAACAGGAATGATGTCACCTTAGGAACTGCATTTCATTTTTTCCCCCTGCCCTGGGTGAATACCCTGGGGTCACGCAGGGCTACACTCCCACATGCCCCTTTTCGGTGTCTTGTTCCTGGGGACAGTGGTGACTGACCTCTCCAGCCAGGTCCTGGCAACAGCCGGACCTGGCAGCTCCCCGCATCCCGCCAGGTAATGTCCTCCAGCCACGGGCCAGCTGGAAGCACATGTGTGCTTCCCACGCATTCGTGCCCTGGACCTCTGGCTGCTCCTCCAGGCAATATGGGTCCCCTCTCTTTGCATGATGGAGAGAGAGATTCTGACTTGAAAAAACACCTGAATATTTTTCTGTCATCTGACTCATTTTGGAGCCCAGTGCTCCTGATGCACCATCAGGTGATCGATCACCATGGGAAAGCACTAGCTCTGCGTGGCTCATTTTCCCCCCACTGCCATCAACCCGTCCTGGAGTTGTGTTTTTCATTCATTTTTCAGTGAGATGCACTCCTGGACTGGCCGTGTCTGACCACATCCCACTGCTGGGGTGGGCGCTCAGTTCTCACCCATTTCTACGTGCAGGCTAGGGAGAAGGGGTGGCTGATAAGTCAGTAGGAAGAGACCTTTCTCAGGTAACCCCAGCCACTTGCAGTGCAATGAGTACCTCTGAGCTGATGTCTAGATGAGCTGAAGGAGAGAAATAGGAGAAACACATCATGAGTAGTGTCTCAGAGCTGCCTGCTCTCCAGCCTCTCCAGAAGAAGCCTATGTGACCAGGCATTTGCAAATGCTTCATATTAGCCAAGATGAATCCAATCTTAGGTGCTTGAAGGAGCAGCTGGTATTTTCCCTGAGCCCCCATCTCAGCCATTGCAGACTTCCCAGGACCACAGTCACCATACCAGCTTGAAAGCAGATAAAACCACCAAGCTAATGAGACCTGAGCCTAAGGTAGGATTCGGAAAAGCCCACTGGGTTTTGTCACACAAACATTTAAATGGTCATCATGCCTAATCTGGGCAGTTGAACCACTTCAAAAACCACCAGAAACTGGCTGAGAACTCCCCCTGGGCAGGGCAGGCTCCTAAGGTCTGGATGTCACTCCGCAAATGTTAAAAGGAGAATATAATTGTTCGGGACTCTCTTGGTAGTTGGCAGAAATGGGCAACTCATGAGAGAAATTCACCCAACTTGGGACCTGGGTTGTTTTCTGCAGGTATCCTCTCCTTTCCTCACTTACTGTGGATAGATGTAATATACCGCTGCTCCCAGCTTCAGTGCATTGGATAAATGTGAGCTATGGATCACTGCTCGCAGGTTGGGAAATGCAACCAGCTGATTTTTGATCAATGGTAAAAAATAAAGCATCTTCATTTTGTCTGCAAGTATTCTGCTGGACTCGTATTCTTTATTTCCCCTAGTAAAGAAACGCAGTAGTTCTTATAAAAAAAAAAAAAAAGAAACCCTTACTGAATGAAATTTGGCCAGGGTAATTATTATCAAGCCAGGCCTGCCAAGCAAATGGCAGGTGAGATTAACTTAATCTCAATAGCAAAGTTCAGAATACTTGCACATCTCTCCACCAGAATATAGGATCTTTTAAAACATGACATCACTTTAACTTTCCAAGGCCAAGCAAATGCACCTGATTTGCATTAACACAAGGCCAAGTCAGTTGACCATCTGATTAAAACTAAATCCTTACCCTCAAACCTGGACCTGGTTTGTAGCAAGAGAAAAGGCATGGATCAGTTTAAAAAAATTACTGAGGAAGCCAGCAGGTACTTCTGTGTTTAAGCTGCTTTGAAAATAAAGTGTAGGATCTTAGAAGCTTGTCAGAAAAAAAGGACACAAGGGTCTCATTTCTGTTTTTTGCACCTGAATCAAAGATATGGACATGCAAAACTTCTCAGCTTCCTCCTAGCCATGGAGGTATCCAAATGCTCTGTGTCCCAAGGTGATGAACTGGAGAAAAGCCGGTTGGGAGGGACCTGTGAAGGTCTCTGGTTCAAATTCCCGCTCAAAGCAAGAACATCACCAACACCAGATCAGCTCAGCCATGGCTTTGGTCAAATCTCACAAACCATCCCCTCTGCCACTCCGGGTACCCATCCTGGGACTGCACCACCCAAACTTCCCAAAGAGCAATTTGTGGCTGGTGCCTCATGTTATAACATCTGCCATAACCACAAAAAGTTTGACGCCATCATCTCTGTAGCTACCCATGGAACAGTTGCAGTCTGTTATCACCTTCCCTCAACCCTTCCCTGCGGTTCCTGGTCCTGGCTGCCATGAATTAAGCACTTTCATTCAGTGTCTCCCACCGGTGGCTCCTCAGACTTTGTAAAGCCTTTGGTTTTACCTCAGTGCTTTGGGAAGCTGGGACTGGGCTCTACACTAGGATTTTCTTAGCAAAATGTGAAAGGCTACAAGCTGATTCAATCATGGATTTCTCCAATGCAGGTCCTGTTGGACACCCCAAAACCCCTAGCCATTTTTTGAAGAGCTTGGTCACAGATCCCCAGGTGGGCTTCCCTCTGTCTCAACCCATATTATTGCTTGGGTCATCCCTGTTTCTGCTGTGCTTGTACCTGGGAACTTGGTCTGCTCCCAGTCTTCACATCTTGTTCTGATTATTTTTGACCTTGAGGAGCAAAGGTTTCTTCAGCAGGCCACATGGCTGCATTGCTTTGAAAGGTTGAATGGGCTGGGAAAAGATGCTTCTGCTGCTGCAAAATCTCTGTCCCTCTTGGTTTTCACCAAGTTTTCATTGTGCTGTATTACCAGGACGGCACCAAGATAAAATACAGCACTTTTGCCATCTTTTTCTTTTTTTGAAATGGCTGTGGCAGTCTCCTGGAGGCTGGCTGCCTCCAAGCTGTAACTTCCAAGCTGCAGACATGCAAGCGCCAGTTCATATTGGTTTAGATTAGATATGCCATTATCAGAGCCTTGATAAGACTGCTGAAAGTGGCAGCTTGTACAGAGTGCTACTGCTTGATAAAGCTCTCCATTAATGCCAAAATTCAGCAAAGGGCCACCCTCAGCCCTTGTCATCTTATTACAAAGGTCTCAAAGGGAGCAAAGGCTCAGTATTGCTTCTCCAAGGGCAAGGCAGTGGTTTCCCTAATAGCATGAGACCCATCACTGCCCTAGTTTGCTTGCCAATGATCACATGGGGAGCAGAGCTTATGGAGGAGCTGGCCTTTGCTGTTGGGGTCTTGCCTTCTAGCAGGAACAAAGTTGCTGGCTGTGCCACTCACCTCCCACTCTCTTGCCTCGAACATCTGTGGCGTAGTCCTGTTGCCTCTCTCCAGGCACATGGACCCCTGCTCATGCCTTCAGAGGGCACGTACTGCCCTTGCAGCTTGGCCTTTGGTGGGATGAGGCTGTCCTCCATCCCACCGCCCAGCT